TTAGATATACAGTGACACATGCAGTTAATGTAATGGGGATGTTTAGAAAAGAAATAGGAAATAATATTATAATGAAAAAACAGCTGATAAAATAATGAAACGAATTATAAAAGAATTGGAAAATTGATTAGAAATAGAGTTGAACTCATAATATAATTATAACATGTAAAGTCTTATATGTTATAATTATACTAAACTTATGGTTTGTTTCTGAATTTTTCTTAATGCCTTAAAAAATGACTTAAAGAAATAGTGCCTTAATAAAATCAGAGGAAAATGAACGGTGATAAAAATCAATAATTATATCAATAAAAAATGCTATGATTGTTGTCACTTCAAAAAAGAAAATATGGAATTGTATAAATTGAATTTACCTAATGAAATAGTGAATTTTATTACTAATTATTCAATGGATGAAAAAGACAAATGTGAAAATTGTAAAAATTGGAGAGATAATCAATTTTTAATCAAATGTGTTATGGGAATGAAAAGAATACATGAGAAATGTAGAAGATGAGATTTTAATATTTCTAACTGAAAATAAAATACCACCTTACGATTATGTTAAACAGTTTCTTAAAATCAGTAAGAAAATATGAAATGATTGATGATATATTATGGATGTTGGGTTATAGTCAAGAGAAAGGAGAAGATGTTAAAGAAAATATCAAATTATTTGTTGAAAGTAAAAAGTTTAATGTTCAACATACCGTGAGAGATATTAATATTATTTTTTAAAATGATGTATGAAAGAAGTAAGACAAATCAATTAAATTATTATCCTGAACTGAAATTATAATCATAATATAATAATAACATGTAAAATCTTATATGTTATAATTATACTATACTTATGGCTTGTAAAGATTGAAATATTTTATTTTTTCTTAATTTGCTTGACTCTTTCAAAGTGCGTTGTTTGAACTTGGTATGCTCTTTTGATTTTTTCGTGCTTTGACTGTTTGTATTTTATTTTGTTTGATACTCTTCTGATATTTTTTATTGGTATACTGCTTTGAAATTTGTTAGTGTGTGTTTTTGAGTTTGTGTTCTTTGATGGTTTTTAGTTTTGCTGTTTTGTTGGTATGCTTGTTTGAATTATTTAATGTTGTATGCTGTAATTAAATATTTTGTTGGGGGTTGTTCTGGTTTTTGAGTTGCTTGGTGGTTCTTATCTTGTTTTCTGTGGATTGTGTGTATTTTGTTGTCTGCTGTTTGATTTTGTGGGCTTGATGTTACAAATGCCCTTTTGCTTATTTTTTGGGGGGGCGGTGGGCAAAAACGAAAATGAGGCATTCCAAAAAAAACAAAGGTGAAACCCACCCACCCTCCCTATGGAGGACTTCAGTTAAAAATGCCACATTCAAAAGGAAATCTAAAATTATATGGAAACGAATCCAGAGAAGAACCTGTGAACCTCAAGCCTTGTACACAAACAAGACGGCTTGAAATTGTTTTCTGCGAACACGGCCGCGTTCCTTTTCAGCCGAAAGGCCTGTAAGAGAAGGTCATGATATTCATGCCATGGATTTGTGAAACTTGTTACACTTCTCGTGATGCGTCATCCTTGTGCAGGGGCATGAGTGCATTATTGCGACCTTGGGCCTACATTGCTGCCAACCCTTTAGTTTGTCCACGTAAGGCACACAGCTGTCTGATTTGCACATGCAAAACGCAGCTCCGCCGCCCTCTTTTTGTCTGTGGGGGAAAGCTCTGTGTTTGTCTCACAGCCGCGCTTCAGGCTGTGGGTTTGGCGCTTTGTACACGACAAACTGGCGTGTAAGGACTATTTCTCATTGATACCTGTCAAGAGAATATATGAAAATTGGCAACTTGTTATATAGAGTCATTGACACCTGTCAATGACGAAGAAATTTAAGCATTGACACCTGTCAATGCAATTTGACACCTGTGAATTTGTGTCTGAGATGGTTATTGAGAAAGGATCTCGACACCTGTCGAGTATGTGGATTGACACCTGTCAATCACCCATTGACACCTGTCAATGTGTCGACACCTGTCGGCCGATTTGACACTCGTCAAATGAAGCGCTTATAAAAGGCATTGACACCTGTCAATGCTCCACGACACCTGTCGAGGATTGAATGAGTTGATTGGCACTGGCCAATAAACTATTGACACCTGTCAATGAGTGGATTCGACACCTGTCGAATATGACAGACACCTGCGTCAAAATAAAGGGTGGGAGACGAGAGAGAAACGAGTGGGTGGGAAAAGAAAAACGAAACATGACAAGAAGAAAATGCAAAATATTATCACTTGATACTGTCATGTCTACCTCTGACATGTTGCTGCGTCACCTCGAGCAGCTGAGAGCCCAAAATGTTACGTGGACAAATTCTAAAATTTGAAAAACGGTTGGCAGCAGTTTTTTTTTGAAAAACAAAAACAGATTCCGGCCCTGGTCAAATAAAAGTCTATCATGTTCATGAGTCAACTCTTATTGTGACCTTGGGCCTACATTGCTGCCAACCCTTTAGTTTGTCCACGTAAGGCACACAGCTGTCTGATTTGCACATGCAAAACGCAGCTCCGCCGCCCTCTTTTTGTCTGTGAGGGAAAGCTCTGTGTTTGTCTCACAGCCGCGCTTCAGGCTGTGGGTTTGGCGCTTTGTACACGACAAACTGGCGTGTAAGGACTATTTCTCATTGATACCTGTCAAGAGAATATATGAAAATTGGCAACTTGCTATATAGAGTCATTGACACCTGTCAATGACGAAGAAATTTAAGCATTGACACCTGTCAATGCAATTTGACACCTGTGAATTTGTGTCTGAGATGGTTATTGAGAAAGGATCTCGACACCTGTCGAGTATGTGGATTAACACCTGTCAATCACCCATTGACACCTGTCAATGTGTCGACACCTGTCGGCCGATTTGACACTCGTCAAATGAAGCGCTTATAAAAGGCATTGACACCTGTCAATGCTCCACGACACCTGTCGAGGATTGAATGAGTTGATTGGCACTGGCCAATAAACTATTGACACCTGTCAATGAGTGGATTCGACACCTGTCGAATATGACAGACACCTGCGTCAAAATAAAGGGTGGGAGACGAGAGAGAAACGAGTGGGTGGGAAAAGAAAAACGAAACATGACAAGAAGAAAATGCAAAATATTATCACTTGATACTGTCATGTCTACCTCTGACATGTTGCTGCGTCACCTCGAGCAGCTGAGCGCCCAAAATGTTACGTGGACAAATTGTAAAAACTGAAAAACGGTTGGCAGCAGTTTTTGTTTGAAAAACAAAAACAGATTCCGGCCCTGGTCAAATAAAAGTCTATCATGTTCATGAGTCAACTCTTATTGTGACCTTGGGCCTACATTGCTGCCAACCCTTTAGTTTGTCCACGTAAGGCACACAGCTGTCTGACTTGCACGTGCAAAACGCAGCTCCGCCGCCCTCTTTTTGTCTGTGGGGAGAGCTCTGTGTTTGTCTCACAGCCGCGCTTCTCCCCCTGAAACAAGGCCGCAAGACCATCAGGCGCCATCAGCCACCTTGGCCGCTGAGCGCCACAATTCGCGAGGATCCACTCTACCAGAACTCCCGAGTTCACTTGCGAAGGAGCGAGGAGACAAGGGACAAGGAAACAAGAGAGGGTCCAAAAAACGCGTCCAGCTCCCGCCAACTAACGGCAGGGTTAGGCTAAAATGTAAATGAAAAGAAGGGTTGGGAAGTTCTTGAACGGGCGGGTGATGAATTTTCACCACCAAAATCTAAAGGGGAACCCTCCCACCCTACCACTTGATAGGAAAAATTGCAACATGCCAAAAACTTTCTGCGCGCAACGCAAACGTTTCATCAAGGAGACAGAAAGTCTCAAGGCAAGTGGACACAAGCGAAACGAAGCATTGCTGTACAAGAATAGTGTTTGTCCAAGTTGCACGTAAACAACCTTCGCTACCTCGCACCCAAATGCTCCCACGGGAACGCCAAGAGAGGAACCCAAAATGCAAACATGACAAAACTTTGAACCAAAGTTTTGTTAGAAGGGTTGCGCCTTAAAATAAGGTTTAGATTCTACAGGCAGAATCTGTCAACTTATTTTTGGGCTTGACCCAACATGTTTGCAAAGGCCCAACAAGCGTTAACGCGGGGAGCGAGGGATAGCGAAGGGGAGCGAGGGATAGCGAAGGAGCGAGGAGACAAGGGACAAGGAAACAAGAGAGGGTCCAAAAAACGTGTCCAGCAGAAAAACTGTCCAACCAAAACGTTTTTGGAAACTGCAAAGCCGAACTCAGTGCCATTTTGTGGAACCACAAAATGGGGCATCTCTGTCGCCTCCCGCCAACTCCCCACTTAGACTCCGAGGCGATGGACCAAGTCGTTCCAAACAACCGTGGTTTGACTGGCACCTCTCGCAACGAATCACGTGGAGTCAACGCGGTTCGGACAGTCAGCCTGCCATTTCATCCACAGCAGGTTTCAACGCAATTGCTGCTGCCTCAACTGGATCTCCATCACTCTCAGGCTCCTCAGCTGCTTCATCATCTGGTAGTCCTGCAATTATTCCAGGTACTCGCTCACGATCTCCGCGCCTTTCGCATAAGGTTGGAGTGGGTTGGCACTCGAGCAAACCAAGCTCTGCGTTCCAAAAGTTTCTCTCTATAAACAAATTGCTGAATGAAAGCGCTGGACCAAAATGTCTCCCCTGTCCCCCTCACATAGGCCATCCTCGCTGGCTCATTGTCAACATAACAAACAATCTAGGCAACTTTGTACTCGTCTCTGCAAAGCATCGAGGATACAAGAATCGGCAAAACCTCCCGTTCACGGCTGGTGTGGCTTGAATGTTCCAAGAGGCGTTCCGACACCACGTCGTCAACGTCCCACCCAAAATATTCAATGCGTGTTCCACGCGGGTCTATCAAGACGCCTCCGATGGTGCCCACCTTGCAAGAAGAATCATAGGCACCATCTGTGAATACCAACCAAGTGTCATGAAAACACCTGACCACTTGTAAAGCTTCAGAAGGAAGAATGGGCTCGTCCAGAAAAGTGAAGGACCTTGCGCATATCGTCATCAAGCTTCGAGGTCGCTGTACTGTTTGCGATGTACCGACCCAAGTGCCTCACAGAGGAGTTGGCAATACGACCAGAGGAATATCCTTCAAAAAAGATCATGCGTCCACGCAAGCGTTCCGCATCCTTTGAAGAAAGTTGGCCTTGGCTCAAAACCTCGCAAATGGTCTCCGAGAGTTCTTGCTCGTTCTTTGGTGTGGCCCACGGCGATGGAACCAGAGCCGAAGTTTGCAAGGTCAAGGACAAGACTGAAAGTTTCGCCAAAAGCAACACACTTCTTCCCTCCGACCAAGTAGTCGTCATAGAAGGCCGTCCAGCGCAGACCAGGCCCCGTGGTGCCAAGATACCATATTGCCTGGCTCACCCGCAAGAATCCAGCCACAGAACCTACAGAGCCGAACGGCAAGGGTGGAACTGCCTGGCGCTGCAACGCGCATCCTGAGAAATGTCCGGTCCAACTCATGAACAGGAAACTACATGTAGGCACTTTTTAAGTCATACGTTCTTCCCGCCAGTTTCAGACCAGGACTGGCGCCGACAAGCTTGATGCCATATGCCAGTCCCGACGCAAGTGGATCAATCGTTTGGAAAACCCACCGTTCCATCGTAACCGTTGCAGCTGCGATCATCGACTACTCGTATTCCTCCTCCTTGACGTACGCCAAAGAGGCGGCCAACCATGGTACTGTTCGTCGCAATAATATCTAACCTTTGTCCAATTCATTTGCAGTCTCAAGCCAGGCTTCTCTCTCCAAATCGACATCTCGACTCCTCTCGACCGTAGCAAGGTTGGCCTTGTTGAAGGCCACAGCCAATTTTTCTCAACGTCGAAAAGCTCGTTGGCGGTCTCCGTCAGAGCGTGCCAAGGAGCTTCAGGTGAGGAACGGAAGTTCAAAGAAGGCCTGCCTGAGCATGCTCGAGCCTTGCTTAGCGACAAGCGCCTTCTTTTAATCAAGGAGATGTTGGATTCCGTTTCATACCCTGACACCGAACTGATCAGTGATATTTCTACTGGCTTTGCGCTCAGTGGATTTATGCCAAAGACAGATGTGTTTCCGCCCAAAATCCTATCTTGATCACTTCTTCAGCCAACACATTCGAGTGAACATCAAGGGAGCGGGGGTGGCCAGCTTTGATCGCCCCTCTGCAAAAATCCAGCGGGGTCACTTGGAACTCCTATCCAGTCTCACATTCCGTCCAGTCGGCGGTGTCAGCCAAAAATGTTAAATTGTCACCAGCGACCCGAATTTAGCCCCAAATTGTCACCAGCGACCCGAATTTCGCCCCGTATCATCAAACGTCGCGATGTTACTTTGGCACCTTTGGGCAAAGTACGCCGAAAGAATCCAAGGTGGAGTCATCTTGGGGTGGTACACTTGCACATGTGTGGGAACACCAGCGGGTTTTGCTTTCACTCAACGAGGCAAAGCGTCCAAAACAATCCGCCCCAACGTGGATGGTTTGGAATTGTCATGTTCAATGTCAAAACTTTCATGGGCACAGATCAGAAGCACCTTGTGTTTGATGGCATCAACAATGCGGCGGAATAGCAAGGGAGGGTATGAAGCCTCGAATTGTTGACCCGCAGCTTCGTAAGCTTGTCGCGTTGTCCACCATGGGCACAGTGATGAAACGAAACAAATTTGTGGCCAAACAAATTGTTGAGCCGCAAATTTGGGGTTGTCCCCCCAAAAATGGCTGTTGCCTGGGTTTTCGATTGCCACACCCACATTGGAACGGCAAGCAGCGGCAACGTTTTCAAACACAGAATCATAAATTTGATTTGCCATATCAACCTCATCTTATCGTGCGATGACAGGCCACCCAATGGTCAGGTGGAACAGTGGACCTGAGTTGTCAATGTCAATGGCAATGGCTTGGAACCCAGCTGCTCTGGGAGGCCTTGGTGAGCTTGGCTGAACCGGCAAACACGTCCGGGATCAAAAGATCATGAAGGGGCTGTCCACGCAAAATTGCGAATGGATGCACCAAAGTCAGCAGCGTCAACAGAACTCGCACAGCAAGAATCATCCGGTGACATGAGGCCGTGTTTGCAAAAGGTCATGCTTAGCTCTCTTAGAGATGCTAGGATTGAATTCTCGGTCTTCTCTCCTTGTGCCCCCTCGGTCACAAGAAGAGGCAGCCTGTCAACTGCTGGCTGTCAGCGCCCTGCAATTGGGCACCGAATGATTGGGCTGTTGGCACAAACGTGGCATCCTTCGGAACACCTCGGTCGGGGAGTTCCACTTGCTTTGTTGCTGCAGCAACCTTTCAAATTGTCTGACCAACAAATTGGGTTACCTCCGAACCCCTTGGCTGTTTTGGGCGAATGCTGAGGGGTGCTTGAAGTCTTCACGGACTTGCCACCTGCATCCGAAGGTTTGTCATGCTTGACTGAACTTGGAAGCGGCAAGAGGAACATTGTGACTCTGGGATCCGCTGTTGATGCCTCGATTGCTTTGTCCAAAGGAATGCAATGCTTGGCATCCATCTTCAAACTAGTCTCGACCTCTTGTGCTAAAATCGTCCAAAGTTCACGGTCTGCGTGGAGGAGTTGCTCGGTCTTGATGCTCTGATAACCAGGTGGGCTTTCTCTGCTGAGAGAATTCAACATCAATGAGATCCAAGCGTCATGAACATTCCAGCTTAACAATCGGCACTGATCCATCGCCACCCCAAGGCGTCGAAACGTCCACTGCAGCTTGAGCTCATTGCCGCCGTCGGCCTTGATCTCGGAGCTGACAGGTGCGATCTTGAGCTGGCTGTTTTCCACCTGGACAGAGCTTTGTTTTTCATTCACAGACAACTGTGTTTCATCATCTCTTTTGCTGCAACGACTTTGGGCAATCCAGACTATCGCACCCGATTCCAGAATGTGATTGGCCAAATCCACCAGGGCGAAACTTGGCAAAAGCTCACCCTGTAGACACAACCCTGACAGCTCTTGTTTCTTTTCTGTGACAAGCAGCTTCCGCATTGTTTCCATTCTATCAAGGTCACTTGTTAAATGCTGTTCGATTGACGCAATGACCAGAGCAGTGCTTTCGAAATGCAACATCCGCAATGCAGAGGCTTGTCCTATGGTGGGCCTACCTCCAACAACACTCCTTGCAAATGCGTCAAATTGCTGCTCTGTCGGTGCTGTCTGAGGCGTTCCAATTGCGAACGCCAAGGATCGGAAAGCTTCGACTCCCAAATCTTTCAGCAGATCGCCAACGTCTTGGCTTCCAGCTTCCTGACTTCGCTGAGAAAAGGCGGCCTTGCTTTCGATGAGAGTCATGGCATGGAGACTACTGGGATGCGGTGAACGAATTCATCGCACTATCAATGTGATGGAAATTCCTAGAATTATGATTTGCCTCTTCTTTCGGTATCTTCCATCTCTTAATCTGGAGATTCCGAAAGTTGAAGATTGGATGGGTGGAAGAGCTTGGGAAAGAAGAAGCACTTCCACAATTCAAGGATTCTACAGCTTATTGACATGAACGAAGTAACCCATCTACCTCTTCATCTTGACTACAGACTGGATCACAAGCCTTTCTTTTTACTTCTTTCTTCATTCTTTTCTATTTTCTTCAAATTTAGAGATTATAAGACCCTGAAAGATAGGCAAATAAGAAGACAAATATCCTTTCAGCATCTGGATGGGTCTTAGAGAAAGCTATTCTTTTATCTGGCTACATTTCTATTTCCAGCATTTTACAGCTATTGGTCATCTCTTTTCATTTGCTTCTTTTACGTTTAAAAAGTTGATGAGGAAAAAGGGATGAGAGAGAGGAGGAAGAGATGGAGGTAGATGTTAGGATTCTCTGTGTGTCACCGGTCTAACCCTCGTCTTTTTACCTCGCATTCCTGACTTTCGAAAGTTGATGAACAAGGCAAATATTAACCAGACAATGTTCTTCTTCTTAATAAGCTCTTCTTTTCACATCTCCATTTCAACCTTCATTCGCTCCCACGGTAAAATCTCAGAGGTAAGCGATCCCAATTAAAAGATTTCATGCTTTTACAAATGATGTAACTCCCTCCATTCCTTCTTTCTTCGTCAATAATCCTCAGAATTTAGAAGTTACAATTTGCTTTTTTGTTAATCATAAAATGCTTGAATGGTGATAAGAAGAGAATGATGAGGATATAGAAGCATATTATATTAATGTAACCTCCAAACACAGAGATAAGACAGGAAAGATAACGACCTGATGACCCACAGAATTTATCCTTATCTTCATTCTGTGTCACTTTATGAATCTGGAAATGCCACCAATCAATTATCTGGATTACTTTGCACCCTGCAGGACTTCAAGGCATCGGGAAGCAGTCTACGCACTCTGGGCTTCTTGTGTACCCTGCAGACCCGGCCGACCTCCCTGCGCCTCTGGTGCTGCAGGCCTACGGTGGCCAGAGGCCTGCTTCTAGCCGACTGAACACCATGGACTTGAACAACGTGTGCAACATGTTGCCGGCGCGCAAAACACACACAAGCGTCGAGAAGGGCCAGAAGCCCTGCAAGGTGCTAGGCTCGGATCAAGCCTTGCAAAACACAATGGCCCAGATGTTGCTGCAGTGCGTAGCCCAAGGCAACACGCAAGGTCGCGAATTTCCACTGCTTGGCAAAAGGACAACACAGCTCGCCTTGGAGGATGACCCCCTTGCCAAAAGAGCTGCCACATGTTCGCCAAGAAAGCTTGACGACTCAAGCAGCAAAGAGGCGGTTGCTGAAGAGGACCAGAAGAAGCACAAGAAGGAGGACCAGAAGGAGAGCCAGAAGGAGGTGGTGCGGGAAAAGGCTGTAGATGCTCAAGAGAGCGTGGACGCAATGGCCGACAAGGTGCGAAGCTTGTTGGACGAGAAGAAAGAACGGACACCCAAGCGCCACACTACAAAGACAAAGCCAGGGCAAAGCGCAACCAAGACAAGCAAACCAAAAGCAAAGGCAAAAGCGAAGGCGGAAGCCCGGGCACCAGCAAAGCCCGGCAGCGCGGCGAAAGCCAAGGCAAAAGCAGCGCCAAAAGCGGCCGCCGGCCTTTCCGGGAACCAAAGCTAGGTCACCCATGACTGTGAGCAACTACGTCATTTACACGGCGGTGAACTCCCAGGCTGATGAAAAGAAAGACAAGGCCTTCAGTTGGAAGCACGGCGCCAAAGAGGCTTGGGGCCGCGTCGTGAAATTCGTCAAAGCGAGCTGAGGCCTGCCCAGATACCTGCCCGTTATAGGAAACATGCACTGCTCCAACCTAAAACAACCCAACCCTTGATACGAACGAGACGCGCTCTCCTTTTGTAACCGGGTTGCGCTGGAGTCT